ATGCCTCTCTCGGCCTTATTCAGGACAGAACGGTGCCATTTGTGTTTTATTGAACTAAGCCTTAACTACAGCATTTTCACACTATTTTGACTTCTAAAAAATAACATCTGCCAGTTATAATAGTTTGGTAAACCTTTATTTTTCAGCAGGTTGTTGACAAACCAAAACAGAATCAACATTCCTGAACACAGATTAATATATAGTGTATTGTGCTTGATTCAAATGTAAAAGTAAATGGATCTGTAGAGCATGTAAACACGTAAACTGTTGCATGACTTTATATACCTGCAATAACAGCATTGGATTAAACATAATATTCTAAGAGACTAATCTGGCAGAGTATGACATCCAGTAATGAAAAAACTCAAATCTTGCTGCACTTCCTGTCGTTGAAAACATACATTCTTAATGAAATATTTGACGTGAAGTTTCCAAATATTGCATACGGATTACACTTACAACCTGCTGTCATGTAACAAAGTCCACCTGCTTCTGTCTGCTTGCTGGAGACTTTTTAAAACCAGGTAAATTGTCCATTATTGCAGCGACAGCGTCTGGTTTTATTTCCCGATCCTTCAGCCCAGCTCCTCCTCGTCTAACCTCAGAACCACTCCGTCTTTTCTCTAGTCTTTCTTCTCCTCCTATTCTACACTCAGAACCACTCCGTCTTTTCTCTAGTCTTTCTTCTAGTCTTTTTTCTAGTCTTTTCTCTAGTCTTTCTTCTAGTCTTTTCTCTAGTCTTTCTTCTCCTCCTATTCTACACTCAGAACCACTCCGTCTTTTCTCTAGTCTTTCTTCTCCTCCTATTCTACACTCAGAACCACTCCGTCTTTTCTCTAGTCTTTCTTCTCCTCCTATTCTACACTCAGAACCACTCCGTCTTTTCTCTAGTCTTTCTTCTCCTCCTATTCTACACTCAGAACCACTCCGTCTTTTCTCTAGTCTTTCTTCTCCTCCTATTCTACACTCAGAACCACTCCGTATTTTCTCTAGTCTTTCTTCTAGTCTTTTCTCTAGTCTTTCTTCTCCTCCTATTCTACACTCAGAACCACTCCTTCTTAACTCTAGTCTTTCTTCTCCTCCTCGTCTAACCTCAGAACCACTCCTTCTTTTCTCTAGTCTTTCTTCTCCTCCTCCTCTTCTTTGCGCTGATCCACTCCTCCTCCTCCCAACCCCTCCTCCTGTAGTCCTGTAGTCCAACACCTCTGTAACCCTGTTTTCTTCAGAAGTAGACGGACACTCATCATCACCTTGCACCGGGTTACGTAGATTCCCTGAGGCTTGCATCCTCTTCATGTGGCTGTTCCTCAGAGGGCTGCTGAACCTCGGATTTCTGGAGATCCTGTCCGAGGAAGGAATCCGACTCTCGCTGTGGCTCCTTCTGGGAATCCTGGATGTTGATCGGCAGCAGGAAGTGCTACAAGCGGAGTATCGTATCCGGCAGATAGTGCAAGCGCATCCAGAAAGTAGTGCCGAGTGATTGGCCAAAGAGGAGAGGAAGGTGAGAGGGAAGGAGCGCTGACACTGAAGGATACACTTCGGAGAGCTGAGGCGAGAGGAGGAGGACGCAGGAGATTTATGGCAGCTGGAGGAAAGATCTCCCGAATTCCCACCTTCCTCCTCCACAGTCTGGATTTTCCTCCACTCCAGTTGAAGAAGCCTCTCTAAGTATCTTTCCAAAGGGCCCACAGCTCTGGGTCTTGGAGCCCCCCGACCCTCCGTGTTGTAGAAAACCGCCAGATGACTCAGACTCCACGAGTTAAAAGGTGGAGGCAGGAAGTCCGGGAAGTCAAAAGCACCGAGTCCGTGTCCTCTGGGTCGTTGGCAGCGAGAGGAAAGGTCTTCAGCCTCGATGACTTCTGGTCTCAGATGGAGTTGAGGGGGAACACGGCTAAAAGAGCCCACAGGAAGTCTCTCTGATTCAGACAAGTCGATGTCACTGTCGCCATCGACGCTCAGAACTCCTACCTGTAGCGGACACAATGATATAGAAATAAAACATATCATTAACTTAAAGGTCACCTATTATGCAAAACCCACTTCTTCATGTCTCTTCTACATCAACATGTGTCCCCTCTTCTTCATGTCTCTTCTTCATCAACATGTGTCCCCTCTTCTTCATGTCTCTTCTACATCAACATGTGTCCCCTCTTCTTCATGTCTCTTCTACATCAACATGTGTCCCCTCTTCTTCATGTCTCTTCTACATCAACATGTGTCCCCTCTTCTTCATGTCTCTTCTACATCAACATGTGTCCCCTCTTCTTCATGTCTCTTCTACATCAACATGTGTCCCCTCTTCTTCATGTCTCTTCTACATCAACATGTGTCCCCTCTTCTTCATGTCTCTTCTACATCACCATGTGTCCCCTCTTCTTCATGTCTCTTCTACATCAACATGTGTCCCCTCTTCTTCATGTCTCTTCTACATCAACATGTGTCCCCTCTTCTTCATGTCTCTTCTTCATCAACATGTGTCCCCTCTGTGTAAAGAGACTCTGAAAGTTTCAGGAACAAAGATTCTCTCTCTTTTTGTCCTGATCCATTTATATCAAAAACCTGTCTGATAATGAGCTGATCAGATTTTGGCCACTTTATGATGTCATAACGATGTGTTGGCTTGTGTAACCATTAGCCAATCACCAACCAAGGTAACCCCCCCCCCCCCCCCACCTTATCACCTGAATCTCCTCCTAGAGCACCATTGAGTTCTTTTTAACCAAATCTCTCTCAGAGGGGCGTGGGGAGGGGCTCCTTATTTTCATCTAAAGTAACAGACAGAGAATCAGCTCTTTGGAAACAGGGCTGAAACAGAGGGGATTATGGGTAATGCTGCAATGATCTGTTTGGTGTTTGGAGCCAAACACTTCAAAGACATGTTTTTGTTATATCTGAGACCTATAATACATTGATGAAAAACAGTATAATAGGGGACCTTTAAAGAACTTCGATAACTAAAAATACATTTACTATAAACAATAACAGCAAGAAATGTTTAACTATTAAATAATATAAGGCGATATATAGCTCCAACAGTACCTCTGAAGGTGTTTCCAGTAGATCAGGGCTGGTTTTTGACAGATTGTGGCAGGGAAAAGCTGCTGAGTGTCGGCTGGTTGTTACACCGCTGTGTTCTTTATGCTGAGAAGATCTGTCCTCTGTAGGAGACGGAGGGTGGGTCTTTGACTCTGAGGATCCCTGAGTTCTGGAGGGAGAAGTTAACATGATGTTAGCAAATATATTCCGTCACAATAGTTACCTGTCAGAAAATGTAATCAGTAACCTAATCCGAGTATCTTTTGGATTACCTCAATATTAAATGCAATGCAAATAAAAACAAAGAGACAAGAAATATCAATAAGATGTTTTCACTTGAGTGTATTATGTAAGACAACAGAACAATGTGACCTTAGAAAAGAACATGCCAAGATATTTAGGATCAGAAATCATTTTATCTATAGGAACACCTGCCTTTCATCAAGCATGTAGTGAGAAAACCTCCAATAAAATATGGGTAAACTTGTTTCATCATTGTGACTCGTTCCCAATAAGCAGTCCGTACAGAGGTTACGTTTAATAATGTTTGATAAAGAAAATAAAACAGACAATAACCAAAGTAGAACTATACAGTCAATAAAAGGTATCGGAACCAAATCACCCTCCTTCTCTTTCCACACAAACCCAACAGGTAGACTAAATACCTTAAAGTGGACCTATCATGCTATATTTGAATAATATTGTGTAGGACCATACCTATATAAGGCATATTTATACTTTTTTTTTTTCAAAATACCAAACAGATCATGCATTTTAGCCATGCCTCATTTTGCTCAATTTGACATTTTTTAGCTCTGTTTTTGCAAGGGCTGATTCTGTTAGAACAGCACCATCTACTGGCCTGGCATATGTACTACAGCGTCTCCAGCGCTTTCGAACGGCAATGGCCGTGGCTGTCTCCTCCTGATTGGTGGAGTTGGCCCAATAGCCGTAGCGCCACTGTCCTGACGTCAGGACAGTGTTCAAATCTGGATCAGTTTTTATCAGATCCGTTGCAGCCCCTTTTTTAGAGATTTGGGTATGGAGGAAAATAGAGAGGGTTGTGTTTTCTGACACTTGGTGAGTTCCCTGGAACACCGGGGACACATATTCATGTATAAAAGACGTACAAAAGTGCATTTTGCATGATAGGTCCCCTTTAAACCAGATCCACGTGACAATTGTGGTGTAAAAGGTTATGATATAAACAATCAACAATGGCCAAATGAGCGTTTTGCTCCAGCATATTGCACTGAAACCCATGAGCACATACTGCAGTTTTAAAAAAAGCAGAAATAAAATCTGAGCTGACAGAAGAGGCTCCGTTTTAGTTTAATACACAGTTAAAGGTGGGGTAGGTAATTTTGGAGAAACCAGCTCGAGATCGCTAGAATTTGAAAATACACAGCCGGAAAAAATCTGCCACTTCCTTACAGAGCCCCTCCTCCAACACACACGAACGCGCACATGACCAATGAGGGCACGAGATAAGTTTGTGCACAGATGGAAGGCTGACAGGCAGGTAGGCCATCTAGTTATTTTAGCCGGGCCGGCTAAAATGATTGGTCGTGCTTTTTACAGTATTACAGCTTCCACAGATGATATTTTTTAATGGATTTTTTGTCAAAGCACTTAAGATATTCATTGCTATCAGGATGTTAAGAGCATTCCATGGAATATAACAAAAAGTGTATCTGAAGCCGGTTTCTCAAACTTACCTACCCCACCTTTAAGCTCACACACACTATTTTATGAACATATAGGTTCACCTGCTGAATTAAAAACAGAACAAATGAAGCAAAGAAAGTGAAAACCATAAAGCAGATTCAGGCAGTAGAAGCATAGATTCACACTTAAAGTATTATCCTACAGAACAGAACAGCTCACAGAGAAGAGATAACATCTGATCCTTTTACAACAAACACTATATGCTCTTCTTAGGTTTTTAGGAACACTGTCATCCTGCTCTCTGAACTTTTCACAAACATCAGTCTCACCTGTGATGAGAGGTAGCTCGTTTGGTGGAGGGGGGGTTTGGCTTCTGCTTCCTTCTCTGCTGAAGCCTCTATGAACACAGATAGATGGTATTAATAATAATAATAATACATTTTATATAAGGCGCCTTTCATGCCTCACACTAATACACCTTCATTCTTTAAACACCCTCACTTCACAGTAATGGTGAAACTTTTTCACTGTTGCTTCATCGGACAATCCAGAACATTTTAATTCCCATTGCAATTTCTAAGATCTCTAGGTCTAGGAGATGTCTACAAAATTATATTAATTTAAAGCAAAAAAAACATGTCTAATCAGAAAATATGTAACATTACTGCTTAAAAAATTATATTTAGTCATCAAAATGGTTTCCAAGCGGTTTACAGGATTGATTACTCCTCTCATACCTCCAGTTGTGCTTCACTCTCACCTTCTCATTAATATTTTCTTGACTTGGCAACATGTACTGCGGCTGCACCGGCTTCCTTTGTGCCTGCCGTCTGCCCATTCTGCTGCTTTGGAAGAAGAGAAACCGAGGAAATGTTAACAAACACAGCCAATGCATAGAAAACACACAATTCAAATCTAGCAACACCATTATATATCCTGTCGTTTGCGTATATTTCGTGTTATTAAGGAGGATAAATGCATTTGAAGATCAAATCGCGTATACACGGATCCATGGAGGCGTCAGAGCATCTGTCTGAACATTTTATTACATCATATTGAATAATATGTGAGATACCTGGCCACATTAGGCGTGTTGTTCTTCCTGTCCCTGATGATGGAAACCCTCTCCGCGTGTTGTTGTGGCGCGCGCTCCTGCAGAATGGTGCCCATCCCAGCTTTTAAAAGGCACCAATAAAAAGAGGCAGTGGGCTGAAACACGGTGGTGTGATCATATTGAGTGGGCTATTTAAAAAAAAAAACAAGCCCCCTTATTTTGTATAAAAGATGTCGACCTGAGGATGGATTCAGCTGCGGGTCCGTGCGTAAGATGCGCGAGCACCGTGACGCTTGTGTAGTAATAATTATTTAAATGTCTTTTCTACAACCCCAGCATGTCAAATAAAAACGCCACTTTTATTTTTTGTTTTTACATCCTTTATTAGATAGAAAGATGCCTAATTATATAAAAAATAAAAACGGTGTGCACCACCCTCCTCCCTGCACATTTTCGTATAATTATTATGTCATTCGAAATAAATAAACGTACTCAACACCAAAAGATACAACATAACATATACTACTGTTGCTTCCTAATGCAATAAAACCAGCCTGCTATTTGACAAACAGCCCCTTCGTTGTTTACAGCAATCCAATGTAGGCTCGTATACTATGATTTACGGTAGGAGCGTGCAGAAACAGATTTCAAAATAAAAGTAGGTTCCTGGTGAACATTACCGGTAATTTATTCCGTGCATCTTAATAACAATTGTTTTTTTTTCGTGAACCAGTAAACAGAACAGTGACTTGACTGCAATGCTGTTTTACATGTGCTTTTCATCTTACTAAATGGTCAAATTATGAACATTGGAGCTGGGGGGCGGGGCAGAATACCCGGAAGTGATTTCAAAACAAAAGCCCTCGCACGATCCATCTGAAAACTCCTGGGAATATCTTGAATGAAGATGATGTGTAGTAGGTTTTGGCAGCACTGGAGTCCAACTCTGGTCATTATATGTTAAAAATGGGTTAAAATATGAACATTCATAACTTTCACCACAGAGATGACACGCCCCCTTACAATAAGTACTCAGATATTGAGAAAGTACTCAGATAATTTGCTTTAAATACTTAAAATACGTATTAAATCCTGAATTCAAAATGTTATTCAAGTAGCATTACACAGTCAACTGAATTTATAATGAAAAAAATACATGCAAGAGCATTTTAATGTTGTAGTTTGTAAATATGGGGCCACGTTTAAATGTAAAAGTAAATGCATTATATCATATAGAATATCATGTGTTTTTATACTTAACCAATATATGAGTGCAGTCAAAATGTGGATATCAGCTGTTGATCTGATTCATGTCAACATTACTGCAGCTTCATACCAGAATAATGGCAGAAAACAGATTAAACCAAAGTGCAATACTCTAAAGTGTCGTAATTTAGTTATGTTCTGATATAACATCGACATAAAAATCTGTGTAAATTGAAAAAATTATTTCCATTGAATTATTTCAAGTCAAACTTCATCATACATGAAGGAATAAGAATAAAAATGGAGACAGTGGTGAGACTCAGTTTTTATTCAGAACCTGTTGTTAGAAATGTTATATTTCTTAATACTTCTCTGACCTAATGTAAGCCATATCAGAAACTCAGGCAGTCTGTTAAAAATATTTCCATTTCGTAACTCAATCACATGGATTAATAACAGCCTCTGAGGTCACTTGGGTGTAGATCACAACAGCATGGATCAGGACTAAACAATCATCTGTTAGACTTATTACAAGGCTTAGTCAAATACTCGATTCTGATTGGTCGATTGGTCGATTTGTACATTCCAGAAGTCTGTTATTTTTCGCTAGGAGACTGTTGCTAAGAAGAACAGATCATTGCCAAGGGGAATCAAGTGACTATGTGCAGTGATATCAATCCGCATAAAGAAGTCCGGTCAATTTAACGTCAGCTGTGGACAACAAACATTAGTTTATCCATCAGAAAACACCATGAATAGGTTTTGAAAATAGATTTTTATATTTGTGGAGAGCCGGAAACTTTGGATTCATGACGGCTAAACTGTCCACAGACAGAGCGCTGGACGTCAGAGAAATCAGCAGAAGAAGACAGACAGGAAGTAAACACTAACGGGAACAGCAGAAGAAGACAGACTAGGGAATAGGATCATTTTAAAAATAATTGTCAATATTCCTGAAACAAGTCGTTGGTTTATTTTGTACATAGCCGTGTAATAAACTGGATAATGTGCAGCGAAGCGGTCGTTAATAATAAAAATAACCCGACATGTTGATCAGGATCCTGATGTTTCGACCTCCTTGCTTCACATCATCCATTTCTTACTAAATCACATTGATTACAAACAGTCTCTGAGGTCACTTGGGTGTATTTATATGACAGTACTTACTACAGCATGGATCAGGACTCAACATTCATTTGTTAGACTGATTGATCGTGTTAAGGCACAGGATTAGTATTCACTAATGAGAGGCAGTCAATTATACTGAGAGGAAATCACTCCATCCTCCACTTTTCACCGCTTCCTCTTCTTCTTAATACTCGATGGTCACTGCCTTCGTCCTCAGGTATTCATTCAGAGCGTCTTGTCCTGTTGTAGAGACAGAAACAACAGTACTCAGATATGGAGGAAGTACTCGGATCCTTTACTCTAAATACTTCAAATACCCCTCAAAAGAGATTGGCCAATGGCTGAGGGAAATGAGTAATTGCTGTTCTATGGAGAAGATAACGTATATTCTGAAAGGGAAAAATGAAACCTTTGATAGGGTTTGGGACCCGTTTACTCAACTGTTAGGGAATGTTAATGTGTCAAACATGCTAAGAAATAACAATGGGAATCCATGAGAGCCATCTGGCTGAAAGGAAAAGTAAAGCTTCTTAAACTGCTGGGACTATGTGCACTTTTGAGGATAATGTTGCTACAGTACTGCCCAATTGTTTTTGTTTTTATTTGATTTCATTTCATCTCTTTTTTATTAAATATATATATATATATATTTTTTTTTTTAATTTCCCTCCGTTTGTGTCTTGTAGCTATGTTGTTTAAAATAACTGAATATAATTATCAAAAGTTAAAGTCCAAAGTGTGCAGGATGGCTTTTTCCCATCATTATAAAATATATAATCCTGTTTTTATCAATAACAGATACTTGTAAGAGCATTTTAATGTTGTAGTGTGTCAGTATGGAGACATGTCCATCGTGTTTAAACTATTTCAAGTGATTCATTGTTTAATTGCAAAGCCAATTCTTCCCCCCTGCATGAACAACAGATCCAGAGTCAGCTGTTTCTTACCCAGGTCTTTTCCGAATCCGGACTGTTTGAATCCTCCGAAAGGCGACGCCACGTCCGTCTTGTTGTAAGTGTTGACGAACACGGTGCCGGCGTTCAGCTTCTCGCTGACGTACAGAGCTTTGCTGATGTCCCGCGTGAAAACCCCCGACGCCAGGCCGAACTCTGTGGCGTTCGCTCTCCTCAGGACGTCGTCCACATCACTGAGGCAGGGAGAGAGAGAGAGAGAGAGAGGAGGGAGGGGATACACAAGAGAGGATGAGACAGAGAGAAAGGCACAGAACCACTTCAGCATTTTATCAAAAATACGTTAAGTATTAATCACAGAAGCTATTATGGGGTCAGAGTTTGTTGGAACGAGGTCTTCTATTTCAGGTGTAATCTGTATTCCTAAATATTTAAAACCTTCCAGGGAAATCTGTTTGAAGAGCTGGATTAAGTCTTTCAGATTCTTTAGGTAGAAGAATGTTACATTTCAAACTATTCACCTTATACCCTGAAAACGTACCAAAATCCTTCATCAGTTTATTGAGCGCTGGAAATGACAGACACATTTTTTATAAATAAAACGATATCAGCGTAAATGGCCAGGCGATTTTCAATGCCCCCAACTGTTACATTAAAGGGGACCTATCATGCTAAATGCACTTGTGTACGTCTTGTATACATGAATATGTGTCCCCGGTGTTCCAGGGAACTCACCAAGTGTCAGAAAACACAACCCTCTCTATTTTCCTCCATACCCAAATCTCTAAAAAAGGGGCTGCAACGGATCTGATAAAAACTGATCCAGATTTGAACACTGTCCTGACGTCAGGACGGTGGCGCTACGGCTATTGGGCCAACTCCACCAATCAGGAGGAGACAGCCACGGCATTGCCGTTCGAAAGCGCTGGAGACGTTGTAGTACATATGCCAGGCCTGTAGATGGTGCTGTTCTCACAGAATCTGCCCTTGCAAAAACAGAGCTAGAAATTGTCAAATTGAGCAAAATGAGGCATGGCTAAAATGCATGATCTGTTTGGTATTTTGAAAAAGAAAAAATTTATAAATATGCCTTATATAGGTATGGTCCTACACTATATTATTATAATATAGCATGATAGGTCCACTTTAAGTATAAATTGTACATACAACCAGTACAGACCACTGTCTCATTTGTATGCATATATTTAGCTTTTCATTTCTAAATGACAAACACTGGTTACGCATTGTCGAAACGCAATAAAAAGATTTTTGATCAGAAAAATGCGTTAAGTGTTTGCCGGTCGATCTGTTCAAACAAATGAGCTTTTGGTCTTTGTTAGGATTTGATAGACAGGGTCAAGACAAGCTTCTTCTCCAATTTCTACAGCGTCTTCACCGCTGCTTTTCTGAAACCTTAAAGGATGTTTACTTTGAAGTGACGGAGAGGCAGCACAAGAAGGGCAGACTGCTCAGAATAAAGACCCTGGGTACTGCCATCTCTTTTTAGGGTATCGCATTAGATTACGTGCTCTCCTAATTGGAAACAATAGAAAACAGAAGCTTAAACGTGGACACAGGCTCTTACCCGCCCTTGAACGAGGAGATGATCATGATGGGGCCGAAGGACTCTTCTTTAGCGATGAACATGTGGTCCTGAACATCGGTGAAGAGCCGTGGGCTCGAAGAAGAAACCTGGAGGCAGACACACAACCAGAGAGCACGTTACATATCTGCCTGATGGCACCTTAAAAGGAGTAGCTTTACTCTTCTCGTTGTACTTGTATAATGACAGTAAAGGATTATTTTCTTTTCTATTCTATCAGAAACAATGGAGTCAATCTGCCTCCTAACGGCTGGACATCATGAAGGCTTACCTGGTCTCTGCACCTGATTTCCTCCACAAATCAGCGTGGCCCCCTCCTTGATCCCCGTCTGACAGAAATCCACCAGTTTGTCCAGGTGGGCTTTGTGGTTCTGAGGTCCGTGGTCTGTGGATCGGTCCAGAGGATCACCGACCTTCATCTTCTTCACCTCCTCAACCTGAGAGAAACCCATACACATAGATGCGAACAGATGCAAAAAACCCAGTCAGTCAGGGTTTCGTTTCAAAATCTTTCTCATTTCAGTTTCAGAGTTTTTACGGAATTTAAGTATTAACATTTTGTCTGCCAAGCTAAAGCAATGCTGGCTCGATAAATAATCAAACATACTATGTGACTGTAGGAGCCAATTCACACTGTGGGTATAAAGGTAGGAACCAATGTCTGTGGATTCAGGTTCAGCCGGAAAGCCAGACTGTTTTTGACAACACACAGAGCACACACACACGCAAACACGGGATTACAAACATTTGCCAAGGTATTGCGTGAACCGTAATATTATGTATAGTAAAAGGAAATAAATGGACTGTATTTAACAGAAACTTTGTATCTGACTTTTTTTCACCTGGAAAGCTATGCGTGTGTCAAAAATGTCAAGTTAGTGGATCCTCGGTTAGCAAGTCGGCTATATATTGACTTCACCTGTACGACTCGTCACCGTGTTGGCACTATTGACACATTCAATATTTAGAAAACATGACAAATGCACTGTGATCCACATCAGAAATATATCCAATGCCTCTAGGGAGTGTGTTGCTGCTCAAACCTCTGAACATACGGCATCCTCAGTGTGAGATAAGAAGAGAAACACGTACCACTCTCTTCACAAAGTGGTCATGAATGGAGTCTTCCACAAACAGTCTGCCGGCCGCGATGCAGTTCTCTCCCTTGTTGAAGAACACGGAGCTCATGCCCTGAAAAAAAGTGAAAAGCACACACCCAAATGTAAACAAATACTGAAATAAAAGGAAGTTGGAGAGAAGCCAAAGACACGGCAGCATTCATCACCGCCGCCATCTTGGCATTGTTGGGGGAGCTTGGGAATTAAGATTTCCATAGCGTTTCACTCCTACAGCCATTTCAACAAAACAACTACAACCCTTCTTCCAATGACTCACCATGCGCACGGCCTTATCCATGTCACAGTCGCTGAAGATGATGAGGGGGGACTTTCCTCCGAGCTCCAGAGACACTTTCTTCACGTTACTGACGGCACAGCTTCAGACGGAGGAGATTCACAGATGAGCAATGATGGAACATGTTGTTTACAGTTTTGTAAATGTGTGTTACTTCATCTCACCTCTTCATGATGTGTTTCCCGACTTCAGTGGAACCTGTGAAGCCCAGTTTACGGACGTCAGGGTGGTCGGACAGACGCTGACCCACCAGAGCTCCTAGAAGAATAGAATTGGAGGATGAAACCCTATGTAATGGTCACACATACAGCACACAGTGACATTTGACCTCTGCCTTTAACCCATCCTAGTACTAGGAGCAGTGGGCAGATATTGTACAGCGCCCGGGAAGAAGAAGAGGAAGAAGATGAAGAAGAGGAAGAGGATGTTCACTTTGACTTCTGCGGAGCTAGACGATGAGCAGCTGATAACTCATCCAGCATAAAACAGATTGAGTGTGAGACCCTACCTGATCCAGGCAGGATGTTAACGACTCCTTTGGGAATCCCCGCCCTCGCCGCCAACTCAGCAAACTTCAGTGCCGTCAGTGGAGTGACCTGCAGACACACAGCAGCATTTATTAAAACTATCATCTTTATTTTCTGAATGCATGTGTCATGTGTTTCGGAAACGAGGACACTTGATAGCAAAAAGGGGCTCTAATATATGTAGTGTCTCTACTTTAAAGAGTCCTCTCCTGCTGATGTTCAGGTGTATATCAGTATGTAGTGTCTCTACTTTAAAGAGTCCTCTCCTGCTGATGTTCAGGTGTATATCAGTATGTAGTGTCTCTACTTTAAAGAGTCCTCTCCTGCTGATGTTCAGGTGTATATCAGTATGTAGTGTCTCTACTTTAAAGAGTCCTCTCCTGTTGATGCTCAGGTGTATATCAGTATGTAGTGTCTCTACTTTAAAGAGTCCTCTCCTGCTGATGTTCAGCTGTATATCAGTATGTAGTGTCTCTACTTTAAAGAGTCCTCTCCTGATGATGTTCAGGTGTATATCAGTATGTAGTGTCTCTACTTTAAAGAGTCCTCTCCTGCTGATGTTCAGGTGTATATCAGTATGTAGTGTCTCTACTTTAAAGAGTCCTCTCCTGTTGATGTTCAGGTGTATATCAGTATATAGTGTCTCTACTTTAAAGAGTCCTCTCCTGCTGATGTTCAGCTGTATATCAGTATGTAGTGTCTCTACTTTAAAGAGTCCTCTCCTGATGATGTTCAGGTGTATATCAGTATGTAGTGTCTCTACTTTAAAGAGTCCTCTCCTGCTGATGTTCAGGTGTATATCAGTATGTAGTGTCTCTACTTTAAAGAGTCCTCTCCTGCTGATGTTCAGGTGTATATCAGTATATAGTGTCTCTACTTTAAAGAGTCCTCTCCTGCTGATGTTCAGGTGTATATCAGTATGTAGTGTCTCTACTTTAAAGAGTCCTCTCCTGCTGATGTTCAGGTGTATATCAGTATGTAGTGTCTCTACTGGGACATGTCTCCATGCTTTAATGTTCAAAAAGCTCTTTATTTCTCTCTGACCTGAGCAGGTTTCAGGACGACGGTGTTTCCCGCTGCCAGGCAGGCGGCTGTTTTCCAGGCCAACATCATCAGAGGGTAGTTCCAGGGAATCACGATGGCACAAACTCTGAGGAGAGGAGAAGAAAGGGGAAGACTTTTGCTTATGATACAAGTCGATTTGTAATTCATTTATAAGTGTTATGTGGGACAAGCAATGCGGTGACTATTGATGATAACATTTTAAGAGATACAATCTGGGAGTGTGTGTATGTGCATTTGTGCGTGTGCGTGTGTGTGTATGTGCGTGTGTAAATCCACTCTCACCCTATTGGTTCTTTCTTGGTGAAGGTGAGGTTACGATTGGGTCTCGCCTGGTTGATGGGAATGGTGCTGCCCTGTGAAAAAAAAAACATAATCTTTTAATTCCATGTATTTTCCATATGAAACTGTTATTTGGTGGTTATACAAATTACATTTTAACACGAGTTTGATTTCATTTCACTCCAGGCTTCCTCACCTGGATCTTGTCACACCAGCCTGCAAAGTAACGAAAGGTCTGGATGGACATGCCCACGTGAGTCTTTAGAGCCAGAGTGTAAACGGCTCCAGAGTCGATGGCCTCGATGGTGGCCAGCTCCTCCTGATGCTCCTCCATCAGGTCAGCCAGCCTGAGGTGGGAAGTGGTGGAGTACAAATACTTTGTTACTGTACTAAAGTACATTTATCTGGTGTCAGTACTTCAATCCACTACTTATTTTTCTGACGACTTTCTACTTTTACTTCTTACATTTTGAACCCAAATACCTGTACTCTCTACTTCTTACATGTTGAACACAAATACCTGTACTTTCTACTTCTTACATGTTGAACACAAATACCTGTACTTTCTACTTCTTACATGTTGAACACAAATACCTGTACTTTCTACTTCTTACACTTTGAACACAAATACCTGTACTTTCTACTTCTTACATGTTGAACACAAATACCTGTACTTTCTACTTCTTACATGTTGAACACAAATACCTGTACTTTCTACTTCTTACATGTTGAACCCAAATACCTGTACTTTCTACTTCTCACATGTTGAACACAAATACCTGTACTTTCTACTTCTTACATGTTGAACACAAATACCTGTACTTTCTACTTCTTACATGTTGAACACAAATACCTGTACTTTCTACTTCTTACATGTTGAACACAAATACCTGTACTTTCTACTTCTTACATGTTGAACACAAATACCTGTACTTTCTACTTCTCACATTTCCCAAACAGGCTGGTTCCTTTAGTTTGAATGTGTGTTTGGTGGCGTGATCATTATTATTTAGAGTCATTGCGTGCCTATTGATTTGAACACGATCCGTGTATCCATCATTTCCTGGTCTTCTCTAAAGAAGAGGGACCAATGAAAACGTTGTCATGTTGCCGTTGTTCAGCATGGAAACATTCATTAGCTAAAGCTTTTGGGGGTTTTCCCTCTCCTGTAGTGTGTTATCAGAACATGATGAAGGTGTTTTGTTACTGACTTGTAGATGAGTCTTCCTCGGTCTCTGGCGTTCATCTTGCCCCACTCTCCCTCCTCGAAGGCTTCTTTAGCAGCGGCGACGGCCGTGTTCACATCGCTGATCTGAGCCAGAGAAACCTCACAGATGGCCTGAAGGATGGAGCATCATAAAGCAAGAAGAAAGGATAAAAACAGCATTTTACTAAGTTTGAATAATGGTGAGGGAGACTTTTAAATCTTGATTACGTCAGGCTGTAAAAACTGCATTATGTCGAAGTTATTCTAATTTATATTGTTCCGATAAGTGCCTACATCTAAAAATCAAGCACTTTGATGGAGTACGTGTTACTCAACAGCAGCCACAAACATCAGATATAAAATAACTTTAAGATATGTTTGATAAAAGACAAAAGTGACGTCAGATAAAGTACTTTTACATTATGCTGCTGCAACACAAACATTTCCCAAATTGGGATCAATAAAGAACTTCTTATCTTATATGTAATAATTGTTGGAGCTTTTCATTGATTTATATTCTTTAATAGTTAAACATTTTTTTCCTCCTGTTTTGTTTATAGTAAATGTATAATTATTTAGTTTCATCATGTCAGGTAGTTGTTCATGCTTGTATCTTGAAGGCAGCTTTGGGCCCCATGTAATCAGGTGTTTATAGGAGACAGGTGGAGGTGGGATTAGTGACGATTAGCTATTGCTGCAGCAAAATCTAAAACAAATAAAATATAAAACACTATCTGTTGCACCAGACAGAATTTTCTTTGTGCATTTTATTTCCTCTGGGTTTCAATAATCCAACTTTACAAAGACAATTGTTTTCAACCTCTTACCGTGCCGTCGGTGGGGTTGATGGTCTTGTAGGTCTTCCCTCCCTCTGCATCGACAAACTGTCCGTTAATGAACAGCTGATGAGGCATCTTGATGGTCATGTTGTTGATGTTCTTCTCCACCTGAGGAACAAACAGTCCCGTCAACACCTCGTCGTCTTCACCTTTACTTTCAGCAGCAGTCGGTCATATCACTCACGTAGTCTACGACCAGCTCCTCCTCATCATCTTCCCCTCGCAGCTTCCTCACACACATCTGGATGAAGTCCGTGAAGGTGCAGTTCATGTAGACGTCTTCGTTCTGAAGCTGGCAGTCATTGGACAGGAGCTTCACCTCCTCCACCAGCCTGAGGACAGCAGGGGAAAGAACCTGCTTTTATAAGTGACCAGAGGTGGGAAGTAGTGGAGTACAAATACTTCGTTACTGTACATTTTTCTGGTATCAGTACTTTACTCCACTACTTATTTTTCTGAAGACTTTTGACTTCCAACATTTAGAACACAAATACCTGTACTTTCTACTTCTTACATTTTGAACACAAATACCTGTACTTTCTACTTCTTACATTTTGAACCCAAATACCTGTATTTTCTACTTCTTACATTTTGAACCCAAATACCTGTACTTTCTACTTCTTACATGTTGAACCCAAATACCTGTACTTTCTACTTCTTACATGTTGAACACAAATACCTGTACTTTCTACTTCTTACATTTTGAACCCAAATACCTGTACTTTCTACTTCTTACATGTTGAACCCAAATACCTGTACTTTCTACTTCTTACATTTTGAACACAAATACCTGTACTTTCTACTTCTTACATGTTGAACACAAATACCTGTACTTTCTACTTCTTACATTTTGAACACAAATACCTGTACTTTCTACTTCTTACATTTTGAACACAAATACCTGTACTTTCTACTTCTCACATGTTGAACACAAATACCTGTACTTTCTACTTCTTACATGTTGAACACAAATACCTGTACTTTCTACTTCTTACATTTTGAACCCAAATACCTGTACTTTCTACTTCTTACATGTTGAACCCAAATACCTGTACTTTCTACTTCTTACATGTTGAACACAAATACCTGTACTTTCTACTTCTTACATTTTGAACACAAATACCTGTACTTTCTACTTCTTACATGTTGAACCCAAATACCTGTACTTTCTACTTCTTACATGTTGAACACAAATACCTGTACTTTCTACTTCTTACATTTTGAACACAAATAGCTGTACTTTCTACTTCTTACATGTTGAACACAAATACCTGTACTTTCTACTTCTTACATGTTGAACCCAAATACCTGTACTTTCTACTTCTTACATGTTGAACCCAAATACCTGTACTTTCTACTTCTTACATGTTGAACCCAAATACCTGTACTTTCTACTTCTCACATTTTCCAAACAGGCTGGTTCCTTTAGTTTGAATGTGTGTTTGGTGGCGTGATCATTATTATTTAGAGTCATTGCGTGCCTATTGATTTGAACACGATCCGTGTATCCATCATTTCCTGGTCTTCTCTAAAGAAGAGGGACCAATGAAAACGTTGTCATGTTGCCGTTGTTCAGCATGGAAACATTCATTAGCTAACAATGACATTATTGTTCTATTAATATAAAGGGAGGTCAGGTACTCTTTAAAACAGCTGCTAGTTATGGGTACTTTTTACTGAAGTACATTTCAAAGCCCTCTTTACTTTTACTTGAGTAATGAAGTTTAGTCAGTACTTCTACTTTTACCAGAGTATTTTTAAACACGAGTATCTGTACTTCTACTTGAGTAAAGGATGTGTGTACTTTTGCCCTCTCTGTAAGTGACCCTAAATGAGTGTATCCATTACAAAGCCTCTATTGTATTGCAGTAGAGGCAGTGGCTCAGTCAGTAGGGGCTTGGACTGGGAGCCGTAGGGTCGCTGGTTCAAGTCCCCGACCAGACCTAAATATGGAGTGTGGACTTCTACTTGGAGAGGTCCCAGTTCACCTCCTGCCCTGCCGTGGTGCCCTTGAGCAAGGCACCGGACACCCCCCTTCCCCCCCACTCCCATTGCTCCCCGGGCGCTGTACAATAGCTGCCCACTGCTCCTAGTACTAGACTCCTTGTACTAGGATGGGTTAAAAGCAGAGGCCAAATTTCACTGTGTGTGCTGTGTGCTCTGCATGTGTGACCATTAAAGAGGGTTTCATCCCTCCCTATTCTTCTATTCTAGTAGTCTTGTTGTTAGTGATAAAATGTTTTTCATATAAATTACAAGATAACACCTAAACTTGTGGAGAATGCAGACTTCTTGACTGCTAAGATATTTGTTGAGTGTATCTTTCTGTTCTGTAAACAGTGAATAGATTCGGTTCCTTCCTACATCAAAGACGAGGTTGATCCATACACTTAAGCACAATTCTTAACAATTGGACTTCTTTTACACCAGATGAACTCTATGTATCACCTTCATTACCTGACCACATCCATGGAAGCAGCACCAGACTTAAAGAAATCAGTGGAGTCTTCGATCTGAGCGACGTTAGAGAGAATACTCTGCCACACCGCCTGCGAGGAAACATGGTCAGAGTCAACACTGGACATCTTTTGTTGGGAAAATTCATCCTAGACACTTCTCAGTTACTGTTGTGAAAATCCTGAATGTCCTCTTCCAACATGAGAGTAACATGATAACAAAGGTATCCCAACTGTAGCTGTGTGCATGACAGGATGTGTGATTACCTAGAAGAGCATCAGGACTGTTTGAGGCATATGATAGCTATGTGATTAACATGATGATTCAGCCTCTATGGAGATAGACATATGACAAGCATGATCATTTCTGACGTGGAGCTAATCTGAAGTAAACATTGAATACTCTGTATGTGATGACTACTTCCATTCTTGAGAGGATCATAAATACATGGATCCTGAGATTGAAGCTCAAGCCAGTGACAAGTGATATTTTTCTAACAGTGAGCTGTAGACTTCTTCCACAGAGTGATGCTTACCTTGATGTGTTTGGCGAAGGTCTTCTCCTCCTCCGTGAGCTCCACAGTAGCGCTGCTCCCCGAGCTGAAGAACTGAGCTGCAGCGATCATCTTCCCGTCCTCAAACTGCAGATTCTTCACCAGCAGCTGCAGAGAAACACACAATCAGATGTGAAACCTGTCCCACCTTAAAGTAAGCTTTAAAATCATCTGATCAGCAGTGGTGTGGGTGTTATATCAGTCTTATGCCTCATCACATGGTAAGCTATATAATGCATGTTATTGAGTTTCAGTTTCCCAAATGAGCTGTTCAGAAAAAGTTTAGAGAAGGCCTTAGGTTATAAAAACAGTTAACCTTTGTTAGTTAACTAATCCTAAGGATGTCATGAGATGATGACTTTTCAACATATACAAGGATAGCTTTCAGAGAGAAACACATGTGACATTTGTGTGGTAGGCTGCATGATCAAATGTGTGTGCGTTAAACATGCTTAGGGGAAATGTGTGTGTGTTCATTGCAGTGGCTATATGTGCTGTATGATTACTGCTACTGCTGTGGCAGTAGGTGATGTACTCCCCATTATTGTTTGGTTTGTTGCAACAACTAAATAATAATTACTGATCAGCTATATCTGTGTTTGTGTTTTATTGATTCCTCTCCGTTTCATTCTTTCCTGTTGTGAGTGCTGAATCTCCACAACATAGGCTCAGGAGAAATGTGTCTGATTGAGTTAACAAAAGCTCTTATTTCACACCTTTGTGTCTTGTATTCTTTGGTGTATACATTTAAATAGCCTGCAGGAAATATGCACTATGACTGATTTGTCTGTCCTTGAATACATTAAGAAAACAACAAGACATCATACCCGTCTTGCCGTCGTTTCCGAACAGCACGAGGCCAGCTTTGGTGACGATGGCGGGCCGAGAAGCTCCTTGGATCTCCAGAGGCTGACCGTTGGCTGAAGGACCGTTTTCCACCAGACTGGAGCCGTAGAAAGTCACTTTCTGTACCAAGAGAGACAGGAAACACGACTTAGACTCTACAGATGTAACAGTCATTGGAAATATTCTCACTTCTTGTAAATCGGGGCTTAGCAACGGTCAACAACATATGGAATGTCTAAATTGACCAATTCAGAATCCAGTATTCAATTAAGCCCTGTTATAATATTTAATAGTTATAACATAAGTCAGTCATAGCAGTCAGTCAGCCATTCATATAATGCTCAACAGATTGACCTATATCACAAAACATCGATAGACAAATCTAATTCTGTTCTTCTATGAACATATCAAAATACTTCCAGAGTTTCTTGTTACCTGTCCATCCACCTCCGCCCAGGCTCCGGGAACTTTGTCGTTTCCTCTGATCCAGTTATGGAGAGCCTCAGCAGACTGGTTCCAGTCAATCTGCCAACACACACAAACACACACACACACACACACACACACACACAACGTCAGACAGAATACAAAAAAACATTAAAACATTTTACTTTCCATTCCCAAACATTCATCTCATTCACTGGATCTATTTTCTTTTTTTAGTATATTGGAAATCCCAATCTCTTGAAATCAAGTCCGCTACTACTCTTAAAGGTCCCATGTCATGGCCATTTCTACTGATCATAATTCCATTGTTGAGCTCTACTAGAATAAATGTATATTGTGCAATGTTCCAAACTCACATTGGTTTCTCATACAGCATCTCTGTATAGTATGTGTATTCACTCTCTGTCCTAAACGGCTTGTTGGAGCTCCTGCCCCCCCCCCCCTCCCTGTGAGCCCAGTGGCCGTCTGCGAGACAGCGAAACCCAGCCCGAAACCAGCCCGAGCACACACACACACACACACACACCCGCAGCCTGGCTGGGAGTCTGTGCTCACACACAGACTCACAGCCTCGCCGCGTCCCGCCGTCTCAAGCGGAGAAATCGGCGGAGCTGCAGCTGAGAAAAGATTGAGTGTGTGTAACGTAACGGCTCAGCGGACGTCACGTCACAGAACCCAAGAAGAAAACAATGGAAAAAGATAAATCTCCAACGAGGCGTTCTGGGGCAGCATAGACAGGTCTTTTCTGTGTTAGAGTTTTACTCTCTACAGGGTGTACTTTGAGGGTTTGTGACTCTGCAGACCGTTTACATGCAGAAAAACCTTCATAACACACAAGGGGACGGGTGATAACCAGAAAAGCATGACATGGGACCTTTAAATCCGGGCTGAAGACTTTTCTTTTTGCCGCTGCTTTTAAATGAACTGTTCACATCTCACTGCACTGCAACTTGTATTCATGTACCTTTGTTATTCATGTTTTTATTATCTTTGCTTTTAAATTAGTATTTTTAAATGCCATCTATAATATGTTTTACTGACATATTTCTGTCTTACAAGAAATGTCAGATTTCAAACCACATATATTTAGATAGATGGGTTTCAAAGTAAAATATTCCCATCGTATGCTTCAATGCTAATTACATGTCAACATTCATTTCCTTTTTAAATCAATACAGCCTTTCCTTGCTTCAATAGTCAATAAAAGTTTAATGAAAGCTGTTGTAAAAATCTGTAAATCACACAATTCTACAAATCATCATACACCTACAGTATTACACATAAACGCAACTTTTAATAGTGTTTTTTTACAGTCTGTGACTCGTGTTATTTGCATCCCAACGACTTGGTGTTTATTGATCCGTCTGCTGTTGTTCTTTAATACCTTAGCGTTGTCTTTCTTCTGGATGCACTCATATGTAGCGCCCTCCTGAGGCTGGATGATCTTCGGGGCTTTTCCTTCTGCAATCATCCTCACGGCGTCCACCTGAAACACCACAGAGGTTATGTGAGATATCTGTGTGGACTTTAGCATCTCAGTGTTTGTTATGTTGGGGACCCAAAGAGAGGAGGAGCAGGAGAGCCCACTGCGTCTCCTTTATTCAGCTTTTGTATTCATCTCCGTTACCCTCACGGTAACTTTAAGGACTTTTTTTCACATCAAAAATCCCAACGTTCAAAATCTACTGTTGGAGAAGCTTTGGCGAAAAGAGTGAAAATCAGTCACATCACTACAATACAATAGAGTGGTGCAGTGACGAGTCCTAAAACCCGGAAGTGAGTCAGCATTTCACCACTTCCTGTTCCCTCGTCTCAGAGCCAATGGGATCTCTCTATAGGATTTTGGAAAATATCTGGAAATAAGGTCTGTGGTTGACAGAATTTGAAGCGACGGATCACGTTTTGTTCTACGACATTAAATCCATCAGCACTGGTGACTTCTGAAGAGTTGACGTGTCTGGAAAACGATGGTTGTTACCAAGTGGCTGAATAGGACTACAGAAGTTGTGGAGGACGTTTTACGTCATTACGCCGAACACGTAAACACTCCAAGTTTGTTTGCCCTGTTCTGCTTGAAAGCAAGTACCTGCCTCCTGCAAACTGTTCAAACAAACGCTTCAACTTGTTCCATTTAGAATCTGTATTTTTGAAATGATCGTGTTCAAACGATCAAACGACAATTTTCAACAATCCTATGGAGAAATCCCTGTTGCTTTTTGTCGAGGGAACCCATGCGCAGCTTACTTCAGGGTCGGCCTAGAAAAATACGTCATCCCTGCACCACTCAGCTTTATTTATAAAGTACTTTAAAACCTCCAGACCAAAGTGCTGTACAGTCAAATAAACAAACAAAATCACACAGCTCCGCTCACACACCATAAAACAAGTACAAGTACAAATAATAGACAATTTAAAGCAATAAAAGCAACACTCTAAAAGATGTTAATACGCTAAGGAGAAGAGGTGGGTTTATCAGAAGCGATTTTAAAGCAGACCGTGTGGAGGCCTGTCTGATGTGCAGATTATTCCACAGTGTGGGAGCCGCTACAGAGAGAGAACTTCACCCACAATGCATTGCCCCGTCCCTTCTCTTACTGTGCCTTTGACCCCCTCGGGGAACAGGAACCTCTTGTAGATGGTGTTCACGGTGTCGTTGGGCTCCACCTCACACTCCCTCTGCAGGAGGATGGGTCCGGTGTCCAGACCGTCGTCAGCCCAAAACACCGTGAACCCTCCCTTCTTATCCCCGTGGATCAGAGTCCTGAGGGGCACACACAGGAGGAATGGATTACATGAGAGGGGTAAGTGTATGCCCTTACAGTTACATTAAAGGTCACCTATTGTGCAAAATCCACTTCTTCACGTCTCTTCTACATCAACATGTGTCCCCTCTGTGTAAAGAGACTCTGAAAGTTTCAGGAAAAAAGATTCTCAGCAAACAAGGTAAACAAGGTAACCCCCCCCCCCCCCCCCCCTTATCACCTGAATCTCCTCCTAGAGCACCATTGTGTTCTTTTTAACCAAATATCTCTCAGAGGGGCGTGGGGAGGGGCTCCTTATTTTCATCTAAAGTAACAGACAGAGAATCAGCACTTTTGAAACAGGGCTGAAACAGAGGGGATTATGGGATGCTGCAATGATCTGTTTTGTGTTTGGAGCCAAACACTTCAGAGACAGGTTCTGTATTTATCTGAGACCTATAATATATTGATGAAAAACAGTATAATAGGGGACCTTTAAGTTACCCTCCCCACCCTGCTCACAGCGACCTGTCCCTTGACTCACCAGTTGATGGCGGAGGCCCCCCGGTGGCGGGGTAGCAGGGAGGGATGGTAGATGATGGAGCCGTGCTGCGGCCGCTCGATGACCTCCATGGGGATGAACTGGGAGCAGAAGGGCAGGACGTTCAGATCCGCTCCCACCGCCTCGTACTGGGACACCACCTCCGGGAGGGCCTGGCCCTTCAGCCGCCAGCGAGGGAACTTAAAGACGGGAATGCCATCTTTCTCTGCCTCCGTCGCTGTGAGAGGAAACAGAGAGGGCAAAAGTACACACATCCTTTACTCAAGTAGAAGTACAGATACTCGTGTTTAAAAATACTCTGGTAAAAGTAGTACTGACTAAACTTCTTTACTCAAGTCAAAGTAAAGAGGGCTTTGAAATGTACTTCAGTAAAAAGTACCCATAACTAGCAGCTGTTTTAAAGAGTACCTGACCTCCCTTTATATTAATAGAACAATAATGTCATTGTTAGCTAATGAATGTTTCCATGCTGAACAACGGCAACATGACAACGTTTTCATTGGTCCCTCTTCTTTAGAGAAGACCAGGAAATGATGGATACACGGATCGTGTTCAAATCAATAGGCACGCAATGACTCTAAATAATAATGATCACGCCACCAAACACACATTCAAACTAAAGGAACCAGCCTGTTTGGGAAATGTGAGAAGTAGAAAGTACAGGTATTTGGGTTCAACATGTGAGAAGTAGAAAGTACAGGTATTTGTGTTCAACATGTAAGAAGTAGAAAGTACAGGTATTTGTGTTCAACATGTAAGAAGTAGAAAGTACAGGTATTTGGGTTCAACATGTAAGAAGTAGAAAGTACAGGTATTTGGGTTCAACATGTAAGAAGTAGAAAGTACAGGTATTTGTGTTCAACATGTAAGAAGTAGAAAGTACAGGTATTTGTGTTCAAAATGTAAGAAGTAGAAAGTACAGGTATTTGTGTTCAACATGTAAGAAATAGAAAGTACAGGTATTTGTGTTCAACATGTAGAAGTAGAAAGTACAGGTATTTGTGTTCAAAATGTAAGAAGTAGAAAGTACAGGTATTTGTGTTCAACATGTAAGAAATAGAAAGTACAGGTATTTGTGTTCAACATGTAAGAAGTAGAAAGTACAGGTATTTGTGTTCAACATGTAAGAAGTAGAAAGTACAGGTATTTGTGTTCAACATGTAAGAAGTAGAAAGTACAGGTATTTGTGTTCAACATGTAAGAAGTAGAAAGTACAGGTATTTGTGTTCAACATGTAAGAAGTAGAAAGTACAGGTATTTGTGTTCAACATGTAAGAAGTAGAAAGTACAGGTATTTGTGTTCAACATGTAAGAAGTAGAAAGTACAGGTATTTGTGTTCAACATGTAAGAAGTAGAAAGTACAGGTATTTGTGTTCAACATGTAAGAAGTAGAAAGTACAGGTATTTGTGTTCAAAATGTAAGAAGTAGAAAGTACAGGTATTTGTGTTCAACATGTAAGAAATAGAAAGTACAGGTATTTGTGTTCAACATGTAAGAAGTAGAAAGTACAGGTATTTGTGTTCAAAATGTAAGAAGTAGAAAGTACAGGTATTTGTGTTCAACATGTAAGAAGTAGAAAGTACAGGTATTTGTGTTCAACATGTAAGAAGTAGAAAGTACAGGTATTTGTGTTCAACATGTAAGAAGTAGAAAGTACAGGTATTTGTGTTCAAAATGTAAGAAGTAGAAAGTACAGGTATTTGTGTTCAACATGTAAGAAGTAGAAAGTACAGGTATTTGTGTTCAACATGTAAGAAGTAGAAAGTACAGGTATTTGTGTTCAACATGTAAGAAGTAGAAAGTACAGGTATTTGTGTTCAACATGTAAGAAGTAGAAAGTACAGGTATTTGTGTTCAACATGTAAGAAGTAGAAAGTACAGGTATTTGTGTTCAACATGTAAGAAGTAGAAAGTACAGGTATTTGGGTTCAACATGTAAGAAGTAGAAAGTACAGGTATTTGTGTTCAAAATGTAAGAAGTAGAAAGTACAGGTATTTGGGTTCAAAATGTAAGAAGTAGAAAGTACAGGTATTTGTGTTCAACATGTAAGAAGTAGAAAGTACAGGTATTTGTGTTCAAAATGTAAGAAGTAGAAAGTAAAAAGTCGTCAGAAAAATAAGTAGTGGAGTAAAGTACTGATACCAGACAAATGTACAGTAACAAAGTATTTGTACTCCCCACCTCTGCAGGAGACAGTGATGAAAACCCCTCAAATAATTCCTTGACTTGGTGTAATATTGATCTGCTCTTTGCTGCTTTTACTGTTTTCTTTTTTTCTTCTGTTTTTCTTTAGTGATATAGGAGTTACAAGACAAGTGCATACACGTACATTACAGTGTCACAGATACTCAGAAGACAGTAAGTGAAGACAAATAACAAATGACAAAATATACATGGAGACAAAAAAAGAAACAGTGTGTGTTAGGGCTGTGCGATTATGGCAAAAATCATAATCCCGATTATTTGGGTCAATAATTGATATCACAATTATTAAATACGATTATTCATTGACTTTGAAAAAATCAATTTATTGAACTTTAAAACAAATACAAATAATAATTTGAACAGTATTTTTTTAACTGTTGATTACCCTGAACGTATAATTCAAGTGAAAAACCAATACAAAAAGAAATAAAATAAATGATATATTTAAATAAATAATATCAAAATAACAACAAATATTTTGGAGCGCACTTCTACAAGCTACTAAACATATATAAATATGATAAATACAAATAAATGAGACCAAAATTATTTAGATCAAATATGTTGCACTGTCACAACCTAAATAATTGTTTTTTTCGATTATGTTGTTTTCGTAATTGTGGCAGGCCAAAATCGTAATTGCGATTAAAATACGATTAATTGCACAGCCCTAGTGTGTGTTTGTTTGCGTGTGTTTATCGAAATACAATATTATCAAACTGCTTTCACTGCTTTCATCGCTGCTTTTATTGATTTGTTCATATTTTAAACTGCATAGAGAGAAGCCTGAGAAGTGTCTTTGTACACCAGTAAAATGACAGTATTATAAAGGGAACGCCATCCTTCTCCGCCTCCGCCGCTGTGACGGGAAACAATGATGAAAACCCTCAAATAATGCCAAGTAAGATAAGAGTAAGATAAGACTTTATTCATCCGAAGGAAATTGTTGTGCCAGAGTTTTGTAACTCTGGCACAACAATTTCCTTCAGGATGAATAAAGTCTAAACCCTAAACACAGCAGCATAATAATAAAACTGTACACTAACAGTGCAGTAAAAAGAGCAATTAAATATCTGCAGGAAAATAACAGAAGTGCCTTTGCATTCTCTTCTGCTTTTACTGCTTTCATTGCTGCTTTTATTGATTTGTTTATATTTTAAACTGCATCGAGAGAAGCCTGAGAAATGTCTTTGCACACATGTAAAATGACATTATAAAGATTTCCAAAGTGAGGAAAACAGAACTCGTTTAGAAATATTTGAGATACGTTTAGGTATGATTTTTATCAAGCTAAAGAGACCATTAAGGTTAAGTCCTAGTCCCTAGTTTTCACTCGGCTAGCGCTCAAACACATTGTATGTGATAGGCTAAAGGGGCGGGACATCTCCAAGCGGTTGACCAATCACAACAGAGCCAGCCAGCTAACCAATCAAAGCAGCTCTGGTTTCAGACAGAGGGTGAAAAGAGGTGCTGCAGCACAGGCAGTACGAGAACAATAAAGAGCTTTTTGAACATTAAAGCATGGAGACATGTAGAGACACTACATACTGATATACACCTGAACATCATCAGGAGAGGACTCTTTAAAGTAGAGACACTACATACTGATATACACCTGAACATCAGCAGGAGAGGACTCTTTAAAGTAGAGACACTACATACTGATATACACCTGAACATCAGCAGGAGAGGACTCTTTAAAGTAGAGACACTACATACTGATATACACCTGAACATCAGCAGGAGAGGACTCTTTAAAGTAGAGACACTACATACTGATACACACCTGAACATCAGCAGGAGAGGACTCTTTAAAGTAGAGACACTACATACTGATATACACCTGAACATCAGCAGGAGAGGACTCTTTAAAGTAGAGACACTACATACTGATATACACCTGAACATCAGCAGGAGAGGACTCTTTAAAGTAGAGACACTACATACTGATATACACCTGAACATCAGCAGGAGAGGACTCTTTAAAGTAGAGACACTACATACTGATATACACCTGAACATCAGCAGGAGAGAACTCTTTAAAGTAGAGACACTACATACTGATATACACCTGAACATCAGCAGGAGAGGACTCTTTAAAGTAGAGACACTACATACTGATATACACCTGAACATCAGCAGAAGAGGACTCTTTAAAGTAGAGACACTACATACTGATATACACCTGAACATCAGCAGGAGAGGACTCTTTAAAGTAGAGACACTACATACTGATATACACCTGAACATCAGCAGGAGAGGACTCTTTAAAGTAGAGACACTACATACTGATATACACCTGAACATCAGCAGGAGAGGACTCTTTAAAGTAGAGACACTACATACTGATATACACCTGAACATCAGCAGGAGAGGACTCTTTAAAGTAGAGACACTACATACTGATATACACCTGAACATCAGCAGGAGAGGACTCTTTAAAGTAGAGACACTACATACTGATATACACCTGAACATCAGCAGGAGAGGACTCTTTAAAGTAGAGACACTACATACTGATATACACCTGAACATCAGCAGGAGAGGACTCTTTAAAGTAGAGACACTACATACTGATATACACCTGAACATCAGCAGGAGAGGACTCTTTAAAGTAGAGACACTACATACTGATATACACCTGAACATCAGCAGGAGAGGACTCTTTAAAGTAGAGACACTATATTCTGATATACACCTGAACATCAGCAGGAGAGGACTCTTTAAAGTAGAGACACTACATACTGATATACACCTGAACATCAGCAGGAGAGGACTCTTTAAAGTAGAGACACTACATACAAATATGAACCTGAAAATTAGCATTAAATGTCCTTTTATTGCATATTTACATGTCAGGGTTAAAATGTGTTGCTCTATCTCATAATCAACATTACATTTGGTTCTGCCCTTCCCTATTCATAACAGTGCTAAAAAATCCAATATATCCATATAACTGATGCTAGATAAGATAGCACACAAGTGATAACACATTGTCATCAATCGTAGTGACCATGAGAAATTGATAGGAGAGCTTTACTGAATTTGTTGTTTGTTTAGTGGAGTATAGTAATAAAAAGGGACGCTGTGACGAGTCCAAATTTCAATTGGCAGCACCCCGAGTTCCTGGTGTGTGTTTTTATTGAGAGGACGGACAGTTTTGCAGTTTCTCACCCAGAGGGTCTGCCTTCCCGTCCTTGTCGGGGATTGTGAAGACTCCTACGATGGTGTGTCCATCTTTCCTCAGCTCTTTGTAAACCTCCTGCCCAAAAACACTCTGACCAATCACTGCGATCTTCATCCTCACAGCTCACTGAGATCTGCAGAGGCGGAAACACCATCAGAAAATACGTTTGTAATTAGTACGAGCAGTCAGAGTACATGGATTATGTGAGAACAAATACACATTTCATATTGCAAGTGAGGGCAAGGCAAGTGTATTTATATAGCACCTTTCAACACAAGGCAATTCAAAGTGCTTTAGAAAAATGAAAGACAAAATGGCATTTAAAAACAGTCATTAAAAAGCAAAGATAATAAAAGAAACATTAAAAGAAAAATACATGAATAAAAGTTACAGTGCAGTTTAAGATATGTAGGGTAGTGGTGGAAGAAGTACTCAATCTTTCATTTAAGAAAAAGTATTAATACCACAGTGTAGAAGTACTCTTTTTATACTACCAGGTATATCCATAACGAAAACCATTTAATTTAATAATTTTTTTATCAATAATATGACCTTGCAAAGTAACTAGTCAAACAAATGGAGTAAAAAGTAAAATATTTTATATCAAATTGTAGTGGATTAGAAGTATGAAGTAGCATAAAATGAAAATACTCAAGTCAAGTACCTTTAGATAACATTATGATAAGTACAGTACTTGAGTAAATGTATTTAGTTACGAGCGTCTGTTTGCATGTGTGTATGTTAGCATTGATTCATGAGGAAGCTCTGTGGATTAGGGCAGATTTGTAAAGACTGAGTGGTCACAGGATATACTTTTCTACTTTTACTTGAATAACATTTTGAATACAAGACTTTTACTGTAACAGAGTATTCCTACACTCTGGTACTTCTACTTTTACTCAAGTACAAGATCTGAGTACTTCTACTTTTACTCAAGATATGAGTACTTTTCCCAACTCTGTAATTAAGTACAGTACTTGAGTAAATGTACTTTTTTTTAAATGTCATCATTGGAGCTATATGTCTTGTAGAGCTAAATGCAATGTAATGTAATAGAGCAGTATTTTTTATCAAATTGAGCATTTTTGAATGTATTACTGAGGTTATATAGCATACAAAGTGTGTCTGTATATACTCAGCATAGAAACAGTATCATTATCAGGTCCAACACAATGATTGAACAATGAATGAATCAGAATGAGTGGATCAGAAAGTGCACTGTAATCATGACTCTCTGACTCAATCTGTTTGACAGTTTGATGACCCCGAACAGAGAGGGGCGGGATCTGTTGTCGTGCCAACCATCCAGATCCCTCAGTGTGGACCTATACTCCGGTATTAACCAATCAGAAGCACGGAGGGATTTGACAGTTGACCGATTGAGGGGACAACGTCCATGAACTCATATGCATATTCATAGACTCCCTTCTCTCGGCACTACAATATCACACTTTAAGCTGTGTGTGCGTGTGTGCGTGTGACAGAGGTGGCGTGTGTGTGTGTGTGTATGTGTATGTGTGTGTGTGTCTGTGTCAGCATTATTCCTCTGGTATAGAAACAGAAATCATCTCACCCTCTCGCAACTTGCTCCTCTCTGCCTGGAAAGAGAAATTCGACCGGCAGCATTGCTTTTAATCCCCCCCCGCCCCCCTCCGGCCGATTGCATAACATGGAAACAGAGCACTGTGATTGGACAGGATGGAGCCAGGGGCGGCAAATCAGCTGCGAGAGCTCAATCACGTGGCCACTGAGAACATTAACGATGATAAGTCAATAGAACAGGTGTCTTTCTAGCATTAAACTGACTCTGTGTAGTTTCTGAGCATTACTAGTACTTTACTCTTGTACTTGAGTAAAAATAGAAGTACTCAGATCTTGTACTTGAGTTAAAGTAGAAGTACCAGAGTGTAGGAATACTCTGTTACCTCTGAACTGTAGTGGAGTAGAAGTACAAAGTAGCATAACATGGAAATACTCAAGTAAAGTACACGTACCTCAAAATTGTACTTAAGTACAGTACTTGAGTAAATATACTTAGTTATTTAACACCTCTGGTATTTTCCCGTTCTGCTACTTTCACATTTTTACTCCACTACAAATGTTCATATGTAGTTACTTTGCAGATTTAGGTTATTAATACAAAATATAATACATGTAGGTTAAGATACCCAGTAGTATATCAAGTAATTTCGAATAATCCCCATGATGGCCAGGTGTAACAAAGTGATGAACACATAAATGCAACAATAATATGAATACAGTAATGTAAAATATACGGTGTCTAAATGGGCCATTCTGCATGAGTACTTTTACTTTTGGTACTTAAACTATATTTTTATGTTAATGCTTTTACTTTTACTTGAGTAACATTTAGCATGCAGGACTTTTACTGATAAAGTTGGTTTGCCCCTGCAGAGGAAGGTCAGAGGACAAGAAGATCAAAGTCTGTGTGTCGGAGGAGAAGCAAAACACAAAACGTTAACCTGCACATGTTCAACTCAACACACACACTACGGCCTTCTGTTATTACATCAGGTAACACCATCTGCACTGTGTTGCACGTGAGTTATCTCCTCAGTGGGGTTTTCTCAATAGCTCTTAATAGGATTTCCCTCAACAGTCTTATAAACGTATCTGGCTATATGTACTGCCTCTCCTCCTCTCATGTCACATAAATGGTCAATGGTAAATGGACTGTACTTATATAGCGCTTTATCCAGTCTTTAAGACCCCTCAAAGCGCTTTACATACTACATGTCATTCACCCATTCACACCCATTCATACAGAGCAGTGCACCTTACTCTAGGACCTAACATTCACACACACTCACACACCGTTGGCCATGCCATCGGGAGCAACTCACATAACCTCCAGTTGTCTCTCATGTTAATGATCCACTCACAATAGTTGACCATTAGAGAACATGTCTGCTTTCAGTGAGAATAAGATTTACTTAAGAATAGTGTTTCAATTTCAGGTCATCTGTATCTTTCCTTTTTCATCCACAAGCAGTGGTGTGAAATAACTACGTACTGTACATACTTAAGTACGATTTTGAGGTGCTTGTACTTTACTTGAGTATTTCTAATGTGTGCTACCTTGTACTTCTACTCTACAGTTCAGAGGTAAATGGTGTACTTTTACTCCACTACATGTATTTAACACCTTTAGTTACTTTAAAGATCTGGATGAATGATGTGAAATATAATCAAGTGTTAAATCAGACTTTAGTTCCACCTGGAGTAAATTCACAAATCAAATCAAATCAAATCTAGGTTTATTTATAAAGCACATTTAAAAGCGATTTTTGGTCGGGCCAAAGTGCTGTACATGTAATAACTACAATCACATAAAAACACATTCTATAATCACAATAAAAGACAATAAATTACAACAGATATTTAAAAAGAAAACACAGGGTTAAAGTCAGGAGTCGTGCTCCGCTCTGACTAAAAGGCCAGGGAGAAGAAGTGTGTCTTAAGAGTGGATTTAAAAACCCCTAGGGTCTGGGCCGACCTCACATGGAGGGGCAGAGTGTTCCAGAGCCTCGGGCCAGCTGCTGCGAAGGCTCGGTGCCCTCGGGTTTTGAGCCTGGTCTTGGGCACTATCAGCAGCAGCTGGTCAGCAGACCTTAAAGCTCTTGTTGGGGTGTAGCGCTGGAGGAGTTCAGCTATATAGGCCGGAGCCAGCCCATTTAGTGCTTTAAAAACAAATAAAAGGAGTTTAAAATCAATTCTGAACCGAATTGGAAGCCAGTGCAGTGAGGACAGAATTGGGGTGATGTGGTCACGCTTTTTGTGGCCAGTGAGTAGACGTGCAGCTGCGTTCTGGACTAGCTGCAGGCGTTTAATTGAGGCCTGGTCCATACCCACGTACAGAGCGTTGCAGTAGTCCAGTCTCGAGGTAACAAAGGCATTAATAACCCTTTCCAGGTCCTCAAACGATAAAAACGACTTAGTCTTGGCCAATAGCCGTATTTAAAAAAAAAGCAGGTTTTGACTACGCTGCTGACCTGCTTATCGAATTTAAAAGCGCTATTGAAGGTCACTCCAAGGTTCGTGACAGAGGGGAGGATATTATTTTTGAGGGAGCCCAGAATATCAACCACAAGCTACCCTGCAGTATACAAAGTCATTCAAACTAGCTGCACCTTTACCAGCTTTGAGAACACTTTAATGATCAATCATTATAAAACATATCATATATATTATTCTGAAATGGACCAATCTGCACAATGACTACTTTTACTGTCGCTACTTTCACTATATTTTGATGATAATACTTTTCTACTTTTACTTGAGGAACATTTTGAATGCAGGACTTTTACTGTAACAGAGTATTCCTACACTCTGGTACTTCTACTTTTACTCAAGTATAAGATCTGAGTACTTCTACTTTTACTCAAGAACAAGATCTGAGTACTTCTACTTTTACTCAAGTACAAGATCTGAGTACTTCTACTTTTACTCAAGCACAAGATCTGAGTACTTCTACTTTTACTCAAGTATAAGATCTGAGTACTTCTACTTTTACTCAAGTACAAGACCTGAGTACTTCTACTTTTACTCAAGCACAAGACCCGAGTACTTAGTTTAGTTAGTTTAGTTTAGTTTGAATGTGTGTTTGGTGGCGTGATCATTATTATTTAGAGTCATTGCGTGCCTATTGATTTGAACACGTACTGAGTACTTCTACTTAGCTATGAGATGTTTCCCTCTCTCTCCACCAGGGGGCAGCACTACACCATGCAGCTGCTGCCCCTCAGGCTCCAGCTGCTCTATACAAGAGAGCACTCGTGCAAACATAAACAAAAAAAGATATACTGTTGGTTTCATTATGGTATATTATGAATCTATTGTGTTAGTGGAGGAAACCAGAGGAAACGTGAGTCGAGCCCTGGAGGTTGAGTTAAGCATGTGTTTTGAAACAGATCATTCTGAATGATGCTATGCTATGCAGTAAACCTGCTGTTTATTGCATCTGCTTTCAGTTCAAATGTATACATTAAAACACTCAACGAAAACTTAAAACCCCTTCAAATGTTCAAATTAACTCAACAGGTGACCGGACTCATTTTCGCGTTAAAGTGCCTGAAGTTTTCAATTAAGATGCACATTTTAGGTTAGGTAATGTTTTATCTTATTAATTGTGTGGAGTCATAAAGTCATAAATAGTGAAGAGTTATGTCAGAAATCACATTGATTGATGACTTTTGACCCCCAATTTGAATCACTTATTCCTTGAGTCAAAAAGTGGAAGTTCATCATAATTGTTTTGGGTTTATAATATGGTTACAGGGCATGCACAACAATAGTTATAGGGCTATAAAAAACACAATACAAATATTTAAAAATACATTAAAATTATATAAAAATACCCAGAAAAATCCACAATAATAGGGTGTTAATTATTAGAATATTTGATGTATAATGTGTGTTTTACTCTCAGTTTAATGTCTGCTCTCTGTAGTGTGTGCTCCTTTACTGCCCCTCATGGAATTACAGAGAGAATGGAGAAGTGTGTGTGTGTGTGTGTGTGTGTGTGTGTGTGTGTGTGTGTGTGTGTGTGTGTGTGTGTGTGTGTGTGTGTGTGTGTGTGTGTGTGTGTGTGTGTCCTGGTTGCCTCAGTGTGCTCCAGTCTCTGTTGTGTTTCCACACCAGACGTCTGTATGAGTGTGTTTTCACACTGAGGCTCCACAGCTGGAGATTCATGGCTATAAATACACACTCTGCACACCACGTCCTCCTCAAGCTTCCTGGAATAAACTGAAACACCTGACCCCCCCCCCCCCCCGACCCACCCCCCACCAAACACCTCACACACACACACACACACCTCACACACACACCACACACACACACACACACACACACACACACACACACAACACACACACCTCACACACACACCTCACCCACACACACACACACACACAACACACACACACACACACACCACACACACACACACACCACCTCACACACACACACACACACACACACACCACACACACACACACACACACACACACACACACAAACACACACTAACTGTATTTCACTATCTAAGAACACCTAAGAACATTTCGAGTCAACCTCTCTCAAATAACTAACACACACTCACGTGAGTTAACATACATCAGCGAAAGAGGGGTTTATTTTGGTATTAAACTATACGTGTGTGTGTGTTAGTTATTTGAGAGACTTTCTTAGCTTGAAAAGTCAAAATCTTTATGGAAAGCTCTGACATTTTTGAAAAGTGAACAATAATTGTAAAAGTGTTCGGAAAGTGAAAACATTTTTGAAAAGTTAAGTAAAGGTTGAAAAAGTTGAAAAGAGAGTTGGAACATTTTCCCAAAGTGGGAACATTTACAGATACTTTCGGAAAGTGGAGGAATGTGGTGATATAAGGAACATTCATCCAGGTGGATTTGGCGAAATAATGTATTTGTAATGCAATAAACCTATACCTATAGCCGTAACACACAACATTCGGCAGTTTGGGAGGAATAATGAATACTTTCATGGTTACGTTTGCTGCATTTAAATAGCAATTGTCTTTGCTTTAAATATACAAGTCAGCATTCACCCATTCACACACATTGATACAGAGACAGAGGCTGCCTAAGAGACCAC